TCGTTGCAGGGGCGTCCAAAGTTCACTCTTCAATCTGAATGCAGGTTAACGTGCGTCCGAATGCAGTTAGTACACTGAGTAACTGCGCGCTTTGTCCACTCCTTGCTGTCAGCTGTGGCGACTCGGGGCTTGCTCTGTTTACGCTAACTGTCTCGTCTCCGCGAATGGACTGTAGTTAGAATGTTTGGATTTATTAGCACCTTTCGGTTTTGTAGACAGGAGCCGCTACTTTTCCGCTGAAGTAGCTCCTCAGTTATCCTCACTAGGCTGAATGTACCCCGCTTCAGACCCACTACTTCTCAGAAAATCTGGTAGTGTCGGGAACCGAACTCGGGACCTCTGGATCTTTAGCCAGGAACACTGACCACTAGACCACAGAGGCGGCAAGTGAACTTACTTTTTTGTTATTTCTCGTCCCAAGCCCGCTAGATGACCGTACACCCGCCATGTTGTTGAGTGAATTATAAACAGTAACGATAGATTGTATTGTGGTATTGTAATTGTATATGAATGGAGCACGTGTATGAAGAGATATCGGGTCTCTGAAGGAACTCTCATGTTAACTTCCGTGTCTGAGTGTACACGTACCCCGACTGCAGAGCGGGACAAGGAAGTATTGAGACTATCTCTAGAGTTCTTGTAATTTGTGTGGAACATTTTTCGAGCAGGCGAACTTCTTAACGAGACAGTTATGAGTCAGGAATGTGTTTTATTTCTGAATTTCGGCTGGGATTAAAATTTAATTAAATTTATTGCGCACAGTTGAGTGACAAGCCAATGCTATCTGCCGTAGGACTCTTTAGGACCTCCCAGTTTAAACTCTCACACGAACAAATATAAGTCTCTTTATCCGTGGAACCCACTTCATTATTACATACTTTCTTTCGAGAAAATTGACTCTGAAGTGCCTTTCTTGCTAGGTCCTATCATACGGACAAATTACGCCTCCCCATAGTGCACTGTTACCTATGAACATCATTTGAACTTCGCTTAGGAGGGAAGTCAAAGGCCATAGACGATTTCGTGGTATTATTTCGTGGTTGAATTCAGCTTGAACGTTTATTAACAAGCTCATAAGATTGTAGTGTCTTATGTAATCTCTGCCCCCTAAACCCTGTCACGATACAAGACCACCAGGTTACGATAACCTCACAGTGGACACCATACCTTATGCTCTGAGGTTCGTTCCGTTGCGAGGACGAAGCAAGTCCTCTCAGCACGTACTATACAGGCCGGTGTCGGTATCTTACTTAAGGCCCGTCCACATTACTCGTGCTCGTGCGTCAGAAGCTTACTGCTGCCGGAGCTGATAACTGTTGTGAAGAAATGCGAAGGCTTTGTATGCAAACCAGTTTCCAGATCCTGATTTTCCGGCAGCAGTAAGCTTCTGACGCACGAGCACGAGTAATGTGGACGCGCCTTAAAAGCGCCAAACGGCATAGTTCTGTTACATTCATATTTACCCTTGTAGTACAGTGACGTGTGTGGTGGTGTATGAGTGTGGAACTTCGTCTCTGACATTAAGGGAGAAACGAAGACTGAGAGTTCCATAGCTTGTACTCTTCTCCAAGTTAATTAGAATGATCAGGTCAAGGAGGATGAGATGGGCAAAGCATGTAGCCCGAATGGGGAGAAGAGAAA